ATTATTATTTTTTTAATTGAATAATTTGTATGCTTAGGAGACAATTAGGTAAATGCGAAAAAATAAAGAATAAGTTATAACGCATTTTCACCTAATTTGTATCATTAAAAATAACGCAATTAAACAAGTGAATAAAGCAAAATTCTAAAGTGGACGGAATTCCAGATTCAGAGTGCATGCGCAGAAATTTCCATATAAATCGTATTACCTGTGTAGGAAATAAGGCTTGCGTTATGATTAATGCAAGATAAAAGCTATGCTAAATCTCTCTAATATCCTTTGTTTCAGGCAGAACTTATTGCAAGGGGTGGGTAACAAGACCGGTAATGGCTAATATAACAAGACGCATCTCCATTTAGAAATTTTTATTCTAATTCTGTAAAAAAAAAAAAAAGAGAGAAAGAGACCTAGGTGAAAAGTGCAATAGCGCAGCAATCTGAACAGACCTGAGCAAGAACAAGCTTTCATTTTAATTAAAATAAAATGCGTTAAAGTATAAAAACTGAGGTAGTATACAACGAGACTTAGGAGAGAAAAAAATGAGTGAATCGATTTGAGGAACTTTGTAAGAGGAACTTTGGAATTGTCGTCAGGAGAAAATAAGCAATAAAAATGTTCGTATTCGCAATAGCTGGGATGAGAGCCGTGATGTCTCAGGGGATAGAGTGTTCGCTTTCCAATGAGGTGAACCGGGCTCGAATCCCAACTGTGGACGGTTGATACGATCCGCATCCGGCTCACACCGGCCACAGTGTCGACTAAATTATCATTTGTGGTAGACGGATCATGGGTGAGAGTCCCCTTGCAGTCTGACTAACCGTGAGAGGTTTTCGTGGTTTTCCTCTACATGTAAGGCAAATGAGGGTTAGTTCCATAAAAAATCCTCTACGAAGGCAAATTTCTCCCAATACTGTATCCGGGAATTCCCTTGTCTTCTTCGTAAACCCAAAATTGGGTCGGCTGTTCAACGACGGTTATAAAATTGCTGGAATGAGAATTCATATATTTTACACTCATTTGAAGTATATAGCACTCAAACGGGGCAGACAATTTCACACCTTCCTCACAGCATTTACAGGGGCAAGCAGGATTTAGAGGGTGACCACTGAGGCCGTACGTCCAAAGCTTCAAAAATTTTTAGAGCCCCCCACAAGGAACTTTTAGAATTTTTAAAGGTAAAATTGATTTGTGCAATTTTCTAAAAAAATTATTTTATATTTTCAAGCGTAATGTTTCAACTATATATCTATAAATATCTTCAAGTATATCAAGTACCATATATCAAGTATCATATATCTATATATATCTTCAAGTATATATCAAGCATATCTTCAAGTATATCAACTATATATATCTTCAAGTATATCAACTATATATATCTTCAAGTTATAACCCCCGTATCTTACCCTTCAGTACACCAGACTCGATTTTCCAAAGATGAAATTTCGCTGCACAAAACAAATATGATTTTACGGGGCTTTGTTCAAAGTAAATGAAAGTAAAATGAAGTAACTTTTATTTTACAACTGAGGCGGTTATTCGGCAAGAAGAAACGTTGCCAGATTTTGTAAAGATAGTTTCCAGTTCATTAAAAAAGAAAAAAAAAAAACCTCCGAAATATTTGGAGTTTTTCCAAAGTCAGGCCTAATTACTGTGTGTGGCAAGAAGCATGCAAAAAATTTCGTTATAAAAATAAATAAAAGGAATTAAATAGGAACATTTTCTGCAGAACTAAACTTTCTCTTATACAAAGATAACATTTCAAAGATAACATTTCATATGTACAAAGATAACATTTCATATGTTCATTAAGGAGTGGTATTGTAGATCTTAAAAGGCTCGTTTTTTTAAAAAAAAATCTATTAATGATTTCATGAACAAAAACTAGGAAACTGAATAAAAACTCTTTCCCATTTTTGTGGAAAACCTACTCATTTTAATCAATCTAAAATTACCATAGTTTTTTTCCCTGCCACGGTTCTGATTTGTGAATATGTGAAAAAGAGGTTTAATTTCTGTGAAAGAAAAAAGAAAACGAGAACTGATTCTTGATAAAGTTGTTCTAAAATTAAGTCACACGTCATCGATTTCATTTTGCAAAAGAAGACTTTTGTGAACAGGGCTTGCTTTAGAAAAGCGGGGGTCCTAGGCACAAGACTGTCAGGGGCAGCCTAATTGTTACCCTAAACCAAATTTACACGTTAATTAATTGTGAAGAGTTTTTAAATTAAAACATGTTAGCGATAGATTAATTAATTTAAAAGCGTATTTCAATACTTCATTAAATACGTACTCTTCATTAAATACGTTTTTCAATTTTTATTAACTATTACTTCTAATAGAAAATCCCTAAGGAAAAACACAAATAGAATATATTTGTAACATTTAGGAGGCCCCCAGAAGTAGGAGGGGCCCTAAGCCTGGGTCTGTGAGGCCTTATGATAAATCAGACACTATTTGTGAAGGGTTTATTATCTTTAATGAAAAATACTGCAAAAGGCTAATTTCTGAGACAAAATATATAGTTTAAAGTATATAGTTTCTGTAAAGTATATAGTTTAAAGTATGCAGTTTTGGTAAAGTATGTAGTTTAAAGCAATGTTCCCCAACCTTTTTGTCACCGCGGACCAGTCAACGTTTGATAATTTTACCGCGGCCGCTGGGGGAGGGGACGTGGATTGTTTACATTTTAAATTATTTTGATTTATTAAGTTTAATTTAATTGTATTTAAACATGCCTTCGAAATAAAATACTGTTACGCCAAAAAATAAATATAAAGTGATTTAACATTTTAACTTACAAGAACGTTAAATCAATGAGAACCCTGAGCTTGTTTCTTTGCAATGAGACTCGAAGTGCGTTGCTTATGTCCAGTTTATTCCGTTGCTTTATTTTGGTTGCTGTTACTGTTCTTCATTAGTTCCAATGTAAATTTCGTGTTTTATTAGTGATATTTACAGTTATGATTATTGATTTTTTTTAAATTAAAACTAATTGAAAGAGAAAAGAGTTGCGGTGGTTTTTTTTTCTTTTTTTTAACTTTTCAAAACATTAAATAATTTATGTCACTACCTTCGAGGGCCGACTTTTTTTTTAAATAAATGAAATTTTAATGGAACTCAGATATTTTTAATTTGGGGTACAAACCTTGGAATTTAAATTCAGTTTCAATGAAACGGGCTGCCCGGTACCATTTGTTCCACGGACCGGTATCGGTCGCGCGGACCGGTGGTTGGGGAACACTGGTTTAAAGTATATAGTTTTGGTAATGTATATAGTTTACAGTATATAGTAAAGTATATAGTTTAAAGTATATAGTTTTTATAGTAAAACACTTTGTGAAGGATCTGTTTCAACAATAAATAGTAAACAATTTTATAAAGCGTTTTTGCTGTTAAATATTTTGCGAAGGGCCTGTTTTAGCGACAAACAATTCCCAGCAAATTTCGTTAACAGAACCAAATTTCTTCTATAATGACGGCTGGAAATTAAAAAAAAAATTTATAATGTCAAAATACATTTAAAAAATGACGCATATTTACTGTCAAAAACTAAATGAAAAACCCAGTAGTTTTTCAAAAATGTTACAAACAAATGATTTAAAGTTCTAACTCATTGCAGAACTTGTGAGTTCTTATATGTGTCTAATATATTATAAGATTCAAATTTCGGATCTGTTCCGGTATTGAGTATGTTTTGTAAGTAACATGCTTATGTTAAGTTAAGATTTGTTACAAAATAATGTATTTCAATAAAAGATTTTCAAATTTCATACGGACTTTCAAGCTTGATGGAAGACTTACATAGAAATTCAAATAATTTATTATAGACTTTGAAAGTTATATTACTAAATAACAGTAGCAGAGTTAAACTTGAAAACTCTTATCCATACCTAATATATTATGATTAAGATTTAAATTTCAGGAGACATTGAAATGCTGGTAGTAACATGTTACACCAGTTTCGTTAAGAAATTACTAATTGCGTGTTAAATGGTGATCTTAACTGTTGAAGGTGGGGAATACATAAGTTATGGAATAAAACACTAAAACCCACGTTTTTGCGTATTAGTATTACATTTGGCATTATAATGCAAAAAAATACAAAATAAACACCGTCTTTACGCATGGGCACACCCGGGCAGTCAGGGGGTCCTTCAGAATGTTACTTTTCAAAAATTGTATTAAAAAAATTTGATAAATAACATTGCCTTATATATTTAATAAAAAATATATAATCTATTGCATTAAGTGTGTATTTTGCTTCTCTTTCTACAAATAGTGATTGATTATCATCACACACACCAATAATTCGAACAGTTTATCACCAGGAAAACCTAAAAAGGCACCCAAAATCTATTTTTCTACATTGCTACGAAGTTTTTAGGTACTCGACTCTCATTTCCTGCAAATGTTGACATATCATTGTGTTCCGGAAAAAATATCGATGTCAAGTAAATTAATGCGAGCAAGTTTTAATGTCTCTAAAAATGCTTGTGCACCACCAACTCTGTTTAGTATTTAAAATTAGTTAAATATAGTAATAATCGGAGGAGTTTAGAATTACACATCACCATGGGACAACAGCTTTTAAACTGGTTATGTCTGATGTGCATTAAAAGATGTTTTAATAACTGCTAAGTTTGACGAAATAATTCATACCATTTTTTTTCACAAGTTAATTATTTTAATTAGCTTCTATGGTTTTTCAGAGTTATTTCATTATTCGGCGGTTGCAACTGATTACCATCTAAATTTTTTTTTAATATTATGCATAGTTTAAAAATGCTGTATTTTATGCATATGTAAGTTTTCAGTAAGATTTTAAACTTAATGATTTCTATGCCCGGGGCACAGCATGTTATTAAGACGGCCCCGCGTTTACCCAAAATAATAACAGTACATAATACATCTAGACTACATTATTTTTGAAATTTCGTACTGTGAAAAAATGAATTATAATACCGCTTAGTTGGGCGAAAAAAGATAAAAGAACATACCCCCGACTTCCGAATGGATAAGAAATAAAATCCAAACGATCAGCTTCAAGCGAAAGATCATCTCATCATATTTCCACACTGCACTACAGAAATCGCCACAACTGAAAACACGAGGAGAATTTTGCCCCTCCCGCTTTTTTCCGACCTCACGCAATCTCTGAGCATGCGCCTTAGAAGGTGGAACAAAAACTACTCGCGGAAAAAAATAAGTAAATTAAAAAACTAACTTCTTTCATCAACAAACATTTCTCTCCACTCCTCCCCCTCCCTTGCTAAGTGCGATGTTAATAATAATGAATCATTCACCGTAAATGAGGTTAGAATTTAAATATTTAATTCATCATTTGTTTAAAGCGTTTAAATTTTTATTTCTGTTTCCGTTTCATTATTTGCATCGTCAAAAATATTTAAATTTACATCTTCAACGATAAACTTTCACAGGAATTAATGTGTTATAGTTTTCGAACAACACTCGTTCATTTCTTTTGTCGTAACTTATTTTTTTAATTCGTACTATTAGTTCACATTCTCCCTATATCTTGTTCAAATATTCAATCGTTAATAAAATACTTTATATTCATCCACTCAAATTCAAATACATTTATTCGAACTTGTAGTAGATGACACTTGATGTTAATACAATTTTTTCAAATATTAGTTCGTTAATTAAATAGAGATGAGCGAAAAACGAATTTTCTAATCGAAGAAATTTTCAGAACGCAATTTTCTGATTGGTTAAAGCGTTAGTCATTGTTTTAAATTTTAAATAAACGATTCAGTTTTTCACATATTTTGAAAATAACAGCATAAATAATTTCTATTTGAAGAATTTCTGTTTCTTCTCTATTTGAACGAAAAATTAGTTTATTGCACACATTTAAATATTTAATTATTTGATATTTTCTGTGTCAGATGAATTGAATAAAGANTCATCCACTCAAGTTCAAATACATTTTAGACTTTATTCAATTCCTACTATTAGCTCACACTCTCCCTATATCTTGTTCAAATATTCAATAGCTAATAAAATACTTTTTATTCATCCATTCAAGTTCAAATACATTTTAGACTTTATTCAATTCCTACTATTAGCTCACACTCTCCCTATATCTTGTTCAAATATTCAATAGCTAATAAAATACTTTTTATTCATCCATTCAAATTCAAATACAATTTTTTTTAAAATTTTATAGTGGATGACACTTGATGTTACACTTGAGTTTTTTCAAATATTAATTCGTTAATTAAATAGAGATGAGCGAAAAACGAATTTTCTGATCGAACGAATTTCAGAACGCAATTTTCTGATTGGTTTAAGAGTTTGTCATTGTTTTAAATTTTAATATAGTTCGATTCAGTTTTTCACAAATTTTAAAAATAGCAGCAGTGATAATTTCTATTTGAAGAGTTTCTATTTCTTCTCTATTTGAACAAAAAAATAGTTCATTGCGCACATTTAAATATTTAATTATTTTATATTCGCTGTGTCAGATAAATTCAATAAAGAACATGACGTGGTAGCACGTGTGGTCCACGTCACCAAAATAATACTTTTATTGTTGCCTGATACCACGCGCCTTTTTTTCATACTCTACCTGTATATATTTATGTATCTTGTTCAAATTTCCAATCGTTAATAAAATACTTTTTATTCAGCCATTCCTGTTCAAATACATTTGCTTAAACTTGAGGATGCCGCTTGATGTTAATACAGTTTTTTCAAATATTAATTCATTAATTGAATTTTATTAATTAAGCATCTAGAAGTACTCATAACAATTTTTGCATGAATTAATTGTTGAATTTAATTATGTTAATTTCATTCAGTTGAATTAATTCATGTTAATTTAAAATGACAAAATTTGATATTTGTGCAAAATCGAATCAAAAATGACCGAAAAACAAAATTGAAAAAAATCACCTTTTTTTAACGTTTTTTTTTCTTTGCAAAAACTTTTTAAAATTGCTGATTTTAGCATTTAAATTTACACAATCATGCAGAACATTTAAGTTGTCAGTTCTTTGAAGGGTAGACATTATCTCCCTCATTCCAATCATTTGGCAATATATGTTTTTCCATCATTTTTAAATTCTTCTTATTCAGAGACAGCGTTCATTTGTTGAATGTTTCTTACAGAATAAACAACGTCTTAAAATTAATATTTGATTTGAGATGCATTTTGCATTTGATTTGATTTGCTACCAACTGATGCATACAACGTCCTTAATCCGTAACTCCACTAGATATATGTAGGTAGTTTTAAAATTAACATTTGATTTGAGATGCATTTTGCATTTGATTTGAGATGCACTTTGCATTTGATTTGATTTTCTACCAACTGATGCATCTCAAATCAAATTAACATTTGATTTAAGATGCATTAGTTGGATGTTTATTACAGAATAAACAACGTCTTTAATCCGTAATCCCAATAGATATACGTAGGTGGTTTTAAAATTAACATTTGATTTGAGATGCATTTTTCCACATTCCTTGTTGTTATTATTGTTAAAATCAACCGAGACCTCATCAGATGCGACGTCTGCTTTAAGCAGTGGTCGGAAGTAGCGCGCTGCAAGTAGCGAAACTATTGTAGTCGCTACTTTTTTCCATATTTTGTAGCGTAGTGTGCTCATTTCTTAAAAAGAAGTAGTGTAGTGAGAAGTGCGATAAAAAAAACAGTATTTTGTAGCGATTCCCGGCAACTATACTTTTAGCGTTAATTAAATAAAGAAACAAAATTCAAACGTAGAAATGTTTTCTAATCTGATTGGTGGAAATTCTTCGCGGGCCTGGCAACGTACGCTATGAGAATGGCTCTGCGGCAGAGCGATCTACGTCTGATGTTAGGAGAAATCGGTCGAGTTGTTCCTGAGTTATCGAATTTTAAATATCTGACTTTTTTTAAAATTTGATTCACAGGAACTATGAAGTCCGTTTTTGTGTATGATTTCGTAACTTAAAATATCGTCTCCATTGATTAATCAACATATTTGCGGTCACCGCCTCGAACCATCAAGATTGAGTCCTAAAACGTGAAGATCCGAACATTAGAACAAAAGTTATTCAGGGTTGTCCGTTTTTTGCTTTCTCGCACTTAATTTCTTGGAGGATATAAAAAAAAAGTATTGATCACTTAAATCACATATGTTTGATAATTTCCTACCATTTCTTAAATCACTGTCGAGAAAAGCATAGAGTTTGGAAGCTTAAAGGACAAATTTGTAAAAAGTGCTTTAGAATAAAAGTTCATGTAAACGTTGAAACTATTTCATGTAAACATGAATTAAAACTTCTTAATATCTCCTCATGTTTAACCAAACCAATTTTTGATTCAAAATCACTTTGAATGTTGGTGAAAATTAAGCAACCCTGTTAAGTTTGTCTTCTAAAAATAGCGAAGTAGTGACTACATTTCGAAAGTAGTTCATAGTCGCTACATTTAAATTAAAAGTAGTTGCAGTTAACTAAAATTGTAATAAAGTAGTTGTAGTTAATTATAAAGAAAATGTAGTTTTTCAGACCACTGTCTTTAAGCGACTCTTTAATCAAACAGTTCCTGCACTGCTTATCCTCTTAACTGATCATTCGTTTTTTTTCGTTTCATTTTTTCTTCGTTCTCCGTTCTTTTCTTCTAGAATCTTTTTAACACGGATCGTAAAAAAAGACATCTTTAGTGAGAGATATTTATTTATTCCCTGAAACTAAAGATGCTTGTCAGGGCGCTGGATTCTAGTCCATGAGAATGGGAGTTCAAATCCAGCCGGCCGAACACTCCCCGTGTAGTAAATGGTAACTGGTACACGTTAAATCTGTTGATTGGGTCACAAAATCCTCCATGTTCCCGTAACAAATTATACCTCTGGGGGTACTGAATTGGAGATTGATCGTTCTCTGGTTCAGGTCAAAATTATGATCTGTTAATGAATGAATGAATGCATGAATGGGTCCGCCCATTCCACAGGAGTGACATATGGGTCTGGCAGAAGTCGAATTCTTGGCCATAGATGGTGCCACTGGAAAACAAGAACAATCGTACCCCTTGTTTTAATGACCTATGATAAAGGCCATTAAAAGGCTAAAAATATAATAAACTAACTTCTCTATCTTACCATAATTATATTCAAAGTTTAGTTGAGAGTTATTTTTATTTTTTATTGTAATTCATGAAGGGGGTGCACAACTTTTTTCAATGATGGACTGTAGGCCCAAGTATTTAGACATGTTGATGAGAATTATAATTTTTTGGTAAATATCACTGTTTCAGAAACAATTCTTTTTATCAGTCAACTAGCAATATATTTGCATGAAACTCTTTTAAATATTTATAATTTTTTCTTTTATTATCTTAAATTTCGTAAGTCTTTTTTTCTTCTTTTTTCAGTCAACTTAGTAATATATTCGTGCCTAACGCAAAAGTGCATTTTAAAATAAATAAACTAGAATATTTTTTAATTAAAGTTAAAAAAAATTATTTTACTGAGCAACATAAATGCAAATTAAATATTTTAGTTAAAGATATATTGTTTAAAATGATTTAAAATAAATCTCCTGAAAGCATTATAGCGTTTCATAAAAATTACCTCAGTTCATATCTTTACTAAAAGATTATTTTTTTCAATAACAATATTTTCAAAACACTTTTTTTTAAGAATTTAAAACCGTCCAAATCTAAACAGTTTACTTAAAACTTTAATAAAAATAAAACAGCGAATATTCTGTCTAACTTTTGATCTCATGATCGGATTTTCAGGCATCGGATTTGCAGTGCCACTCTACCTTTAATGTTTTAAAAGTTAAATTCGATATTTTTATTTTCCAAATCAGAAACAAAACTATACTTTCTTTTAATATATTTGTCTTCTTTTTTAGGACGAATTCCGATTTCTAACCCTAAAAATATAGTGTATGCACGAAATCTGAGAAACACATGTGGTCCCAATCAGACCGTCTTAATAGCAATCAGGGCAACGGGAAACAAAAATATTTTGCCCTCCTATAACATGTCATACTATTTAAAACTGAACTAAAAAAAATTACGTACATAAAATAAGGCATTTTTAAGATATGCAAAAATTTTAACAAATTTAAACGCATTTTTATTACCTCCAAAACTCAATGCTCATAAAATAATGCTTTTTTAAAT